TCACCAAAATTCTCTTTGCATTTGCTCTCAGGGCTTTGAGCTTTGATTTGAGCCGTGCACGTAGTTTGTGATTAAAGTTGTAAAGGGCTGCCGACGCTCACAAAAAACAATCGGGTGCAGGTAAGAACATGTCGGTGTGTGTCATTCTCCAAAAGTTCCATGCACAGAAGAAAGTGTTTTGAGCCGTGGGTCTGAAGACCTCGAGGGCTCCAGGTCCTGTCCGGCAGCTCAGTGGGTTTACAGAAGCACCAACGCTGTCTGCCCTTCAATGCTGAGTAAGAACTCTCACATGATCGGAGTGTGTTGTGTTGCTAACCCAACACACTCCTCCATGTCTTTGAGTCTGACATGTTGACACGTTGCCGAGAACATGAACGGAGTCGCATAAAGGCTGGTTGTCATAGAAATGCTCTGAGAGGCAGAATTAGAAAGGCTGCAGACAAAGTCTGGGAGAAGTCATGGTAACAAAGTGTGTGTGTGTGTGTGTGTGTGTGTGTGTGTGTGTGTGTGTGTGTGTGTATGTGTCGTTAATTTTAGTACTTGCAGCCAAACTAAGAATTGCGATGCATTATTCTTCGTAGGTAAAGCTGACACTGAATGAGATGAGCCTCCACCATGAGACTGACCAGCTTCTCTTCTCTTAACTAACACTACTACTTTAAACTAGATTTCAATCATTTATTCTTTATTTCTTTGCATGCAGGATGTTATATTTGTGTTATTTTGTCATGTGGTTGATGGACCTCTGTGTGTTTGATGAGCGGTGGACGGCCCCGTTATCTCAGCAGAGTTAATTAGATCTGACTGTAATTCACCGGACTGTAATTAACTTTTGGTCAGAGTAACTGCCGCTGCGCGCCGTTACTCTGACCAAAAGTTAATCACAGCGCTGACGGACGGACTGCCGCTGCACGAGCACACGAGCCCAGAGGAACCGTCTCTTGGTGATACTCTCATTATGGTGGAGTATCGAGAGGTCAGCTCACACTCACTCAGCCTTTATTAAGCCTCATCTGTCTGTTTGAAGACATTTTCGAATGTGCAAAGCGTGAAGAGCAAAGAAGGTGTCTGACAAACATCAGTTCATAAGATTCATGGAGCTAACGCTACTGTAGCTCTCAGTAATGTAATCATCTGGAAGACAATTTGCAGAAAACACTAGACCTATGTCGTATTTATTGTTGAGTTGTGAATTTATGTTTCCAACAATTTTTAAACCAGACAAATCAGTTCGGCGTGTTTCATTCGGTCGCCTGTCGGTGGCTTTTTATTGGTCAGTTTTTACTCTATCTTCACCGGTTAGAAGGAATTTAGTCATCAGACGTCTGGATGTTCAGTTTTTAGAGAAACGAGCTGCGTTTGACCAGTTATGAAAGTCGAGTGTGTACGGTTTGGCGACATCTAGCGGCGAGGTTGCAGATTGCAGCCAACTGAAACTTCTCTCGTGTGCCAAGCGTGTAGAGAACGATGTACTGTAAATGTCAGTCAGTGTTTAGTTTGTCCGTTCTGGGCTACTGTAGAAACATGGCGGCTAATGAAAGTGATCATATATAAAGTAAAACATACTTATTATTGCTACACGCTGACACCTCTGCAGATAATGCATCCGGATCCTCCAACGTTAGCGGCAGCTCGCTATCGCTACAGGACGTCCTGTATCGCACAGCGTCGGAGAACACTTTCTAACGTGAAGCTGCTTCAGTCAGCGGTTTTTAGTGGTTTCAATCAGCCGGTCCGTTTGCTCTGGAGAGGAGAAGCTCTGCAGTACAAACCTCCAACCGACTGCACTGAAGACGACAACTCCCATGATCCCATGCTGCTTCATGACGTCACTAAAGTTTGTCTTTGTTACCGTTTTGAATGAGAAACAAATATATTAATGTTTGAGCATAAACACATGTTGACCTCCAGCAACTCCGATGCTTCGCTACAGGAGATAAACACCGTCGAAAAACAATAAAAACATGAATTTTCAAAGTATATCAGATGTGTGCACGTTGGTTTGACCTCCTTCACCCTGGTAATGAATTCCTATTTCTTCCTCACAGTGTTGAGTTAATTAGGACTCAGTGATGAGCCGATCGCATCCGTAACGACTGCAGAAACGGCTGAACGTGTGTGTTGTTTCTCCCCTCTCGGTGTGTCTCTGGATCCACTCCACCGGCTTTCTGAAATAGAAACAAAACCTGTCAAATCATCCGTGAACTAATCTCCATCGCTCAGCAATTAGTGCAGGCGGATGTCAGCCCTGACAGGAAGTGGTGACGGGAGGTGACAGCGACGATATTCATTTATTAAACTGACAAATTAATTATTGAAAAACTACTTTTTTTGTCGCTCTGACGCTAAACTGCTGAGAACAAAACAGGGTATTAAAAGCAAACGCAGGTCATTGAGTCATAATGGTGACTGTGATTAAACTCGGTGCAGACATTCATGCTCCCCTGAGGATGGACTCTGGTAACTTTGGTGACTTTAACTTTCCCGTAGCGCCGTCATCGGGTCACAGCATCACTTTGTCCAATAATTGCATGACGTTCCCATCAGCCCCTGCTCTACATTTTTCCGTGCTGATTGGCAAATGTCAACACGCTAAAATGAGATGGCGAAGATGGTCAACGTTATACCTGCAAAATATTCTCATCGTGAGCATGTTAGCGTGCTGATGTTAGCATTTAGCTCAAAGCACCTGCTGTGTCTCAGTACAGTCTAACGGATCTGCTACTTGGAGTTTATGAGTTTATGGTCTCAATCTCTAGTTTCAAGTCTTCTTCACTACAGCATGATGTTCATTTAGTACATTATGGTCCATTTAGAGTCACACAGACCATAAAGCAGGGGATGCTTTAGGGGCGGGGCTACACGGTGATTGACAGGTCTCAGGAGTCTGGGATTGTCTGTGTTTTTGTCTTTGAACTTTAACCCTTTCAGTGTGTTTCACTTCATGAAAGTTAATCTTAACATTTTGGTCGCCTTATTCATTTTTCGTTTTGTACTTAGCTCCGCCCTCTCGTATCACTTTTGTTTGCATTTTAAATGTCACTATCACAGTGACTGCGATTCATATTTGATTATTTGTGCAGCAAAGATAAATTCAAGGTAAACATTTTTTTCATCTCCTCTATTGTGTCTTGTTCCATAATACTGACCCTCACTCTTAATAATATTCCTGATGTATATAATAAACTTAGAGAACCCTTCAGTGAGGTCAGGGACTTCAAACAGAAGCATGAGGAAGGCTTCAGTCTGTTTACCAGCAGAGTGGATGAGCGGAGGCTGAGGAGGGGAGAGTCTCAGTCGGTCCAGCAGCAGAGCGTCTCATGTGATCCTCACTTTGATTTCTGACTTCAGAAGTTGCTGCTCAGCAGCTTTTCTTTCTCTCCTCCAGCTGCAGCTCTGCGTCGCTCCTCAGCGTGACTAAAGGAAGTTTCCCTTCTCTGTAAATGAGACACTAACTGATTCTGTGGGACCCGTTTTTTGAAATGGGCTCAAATTAAACGGCTTATCTCTTCTCTGCGTTATCGGCTCTGAAGGTTCCACTTGTCTCTGTGACTTCAGGCCCGTTTCCATCAGAGCCCTTTTTATCTCTGCTTGTTATTTTAGACGCCTCGGCTCATCACAGATTTGTGAAACGAGGAGCTTGTTTTCTGCCCTGTGAGCAAAACCTCGTTCAGTTTTCTCTCTGAGTCCCGCTGACGTTGAGTTCAACAGACGACTTGTTGAATGAACCATAATGTACTAAATGAACATCATGCTGTATTGAAGAAGACTTGAAACTAGAGATTGAGACCATAAACTCATGTTTACAATGTTTACTGAGGTAATAAATCAAGAGAGAAGTAGAGTCATTTTCTCATAGACTTCTATACAACCAGAGGAGTCGCCCCCTGGTGGACACTAGAGAGTGTTGGATCCCGGGCTCCTCCTGTCCTCGAGGTGTCAAGATTCTCCAAATACACAAATCCTATTTAAACTTATTCATTTTGAAAATAAACAGATCATCGGTTTTATTTATAGCTCTGCTTCATGTGCTCCAAGTGTTTGAACATTAAACCATCCAAACATGTTCTAGAAGAAAACCCCAAAAATAATATTTAAGAGCCTGAAAATGAGTGTGATGCGTCTCCTTTAAAGATCCACAAATCTCCACTTCATTATGTTTTGTTCATACATCATTCATAGTTAGATTTATGAAACATTGTATCACTAAAAACATGCAGAACATGTTCTGTTGACAGTATTTATGAAGTGATGCAACGACATATCCAAAACTCCCCCTGAATATGTATATCTCTCATATGTCAACAAAGTGAATCAATCATTTTGAACTTTATCCAATGCTCAGATTTCTGTTCTGGATATATATGCAAATTAGCACCGATTAGACAAGATAATACCTCATTTGCATATTTAAAACTACATTATTAGAAAACCTGTAACATGAGAATAATGTAAGTGATGAACTGGGGACGTTTCATGGTGGTATCTATTAGTGGTTGTTTTTTACCCTGTTCACATGAAGTGTCTCCCCTTTATTTGATATTTTGAAATGATATGTTTATGTTTAAAAGCTTGTAACATGTAAATAGTGTCCTAATATCTTTCCATCCTAACACACTCGGTAGATGAGGTGAAATGAACCAAGTGAGACAGCTGATCTATGAGCAGCACCTGGTGGACATCAGAGGAACTGCAGCTCAACAACCTGCAGCTTTCACCTCAAAACTAACGGGAGTGAACGTCTCTTCTCTGATTGGTCGAGAGACATATGACGAAGTAGTTGACCTGCTGCTCTCAGACCCTCGCTCCTTATTGGCTAATTGCCGACGTCTATTACCACCTGAGCTGCTAAATGGTTCATCGATGCACAACTGAGCCTCCTTTGAGTGCGCTTCTCCGGCTGTGTGTGTCTGTCCTTCACCCTCTGATTGGTTTATTGATTGTGCAGCTCTCTGATTGGCTGCCTGATGTGACTCTTTGTGCTTTGCTTTCTTTCTCAGCTGGACAACGTGGACGAGCAGGCGGCTCAGATCCGCAGAGAGCTGGACGGAAGGTTACAGCTGGCCGAGAAGATTTCCAGGGTGAGAGACATTTAGGAGAGATGAACATCTAGCTTAACTGTCAAAAACGTCCACCAGCCGGTGAAAGAATTGGACGTGAAGTAAACGTGCTGATGATGAACCAAGACCGCGTTTTCTTTTTGTCCCCGCAGGAGAGGAGACACCCGAAGTTCGTCTCCGCCGACATGGAGCCCCTCTACGTGGAGGAGCTGCGTTCGTCAGTCAACCTGCTCATGGCCAATCTGGAGAGTCTGCCGGTCTCCAAAGGAGGGCCGGACTTCAAGCAGAAGCTCAAACGCTCCTCCATGAACAACTCCTTCCTGGACATGGGAGACGAGGGAGACATCCTGTCCAAGTCTGACGTGGTGCTGTCTTTTACTCTGGAGGTCTGTGTGGATGAGGACGTGTAGCTTAGTGATTGGTTACATGAGGAAGTTCATTTATAGAGAACATGAGGTTTATAGGTTTATGACTTAAAATGAGTCCACATCCGACAAACCACATTTAGAGATGTCTTGTTTTCTGTAAAATTGTGATTTTCTCAGTTTCCTGATGCTCTATAGTGTCTAAGAGTAAAAGAACTCTGAGGAGACGTAGCGTGTCTTGACCCTCTGCCGGTGTCTTCAGATTGTGATCGTGGAGGTCCAGGGTCTGAAGTCCGTGGCTCCAAACCGGGTCGTTTACTGCACCATGGAGGTGGAGGGAGGAGAAAAGCTGCAGACGGACCAAGCTGAAGCCTCCAGACCTCAGTGAGTTCTACTTCCTCCTGCTCCATTCACAGTGTCTCAGTTAAGACACAGACACAGACCCCACACAGGGAGGGGGGGTCACACACAGACAGTTGTTTGAGGAGCGTTTGTACAGCTTCTGATAAACGGTGTGATTTTGGCGATTGTTTAAAGAAAACATGCTTTTCAATCCCGCAGGTGGGTTCTGACGTTCAGATATTAAAGTGATCAAACTTGTTCAGTCACAGAAATGTTGCTGCAGTTTAAAAACATAAATCCACCAAAAGACAACATTTAGCTGATTTGAAGCTCTGGATTTGATATTTAAAGGCGTCTGCAGATGCACAAAGACTCGTTTAATACTCACGAGGCTTCTCTCTGCACTCCTAACTGGATTATCGTCTGAGCTGTTTTTGAAGATGAAATGAACACGCAGCAGACCTCCTTCACACAGTTACCTGAACCACGGCCAACACGGCGCTCTGTTGTTTTTGTTTTATGCGACCTTCATCCTCCTCCAACGCCGCCGGAGCCGCGTTCCTCCTCCTCCAGTAAAACGCTGATGCAGCAGGAAGACGAGGCCGTCGTGTAACACACAAAACACACACACACTCTGGTTTCTGAAAGCCCAGCTGAGCTCAAAACCCTCTTCATGTTTCAGCGTGCGGGCCAAGCTTTTCATTCCAGGCGATCTGGGACTCAGTAGGAAGCAGGTTTATGAGCCGGTCTGAAGCAGACTTGTGTCCCCTGTGAGGCTGTAATGTTTGTTACACACCAGACAACTCAGTCTATGAGAAAATGACTCTACTTCTCTCTTGATTTATTACCTCAGTAAACATTGTAAACATGAGTTTATGGTCTCAATCTCTAGTTTCAAGTCTTCTTCAATACAGCATGATGTTCATTCAGGCGTCTCTCCGTCGCTCCTCCTCCTCCGCCCAAATAAAGGCTCTTCCGTTCATTAGTGGCAAAAAGTCAAGATGGCGACGGGCAAAACGCCGAACTCGAGGCTTCAAAGCGTCGACAATCCAATGAGTGACGTCACGATGACTCCGTTTAAAGCTGTGCCGTCGTCCTTCCTTTTGAACCGTTAATATTACGATGGATAGCTAAAGCTAGTGAAGAAAACTGCTCCAGTTCATTTTCATCATTTACACATTTCAGTTTAACTCTTCTGGAAACGTTTTAAAATCATGTTCATGAAATCAAAAGAGCAGATTCACAACACGTTCAGAGAGTTTCGTTAATTCAATTTGTTCACAAATAAAGACAGTTATGACGAACACTAATTATTCATCAAAAAAGGACACGAACATTTTATCAATACATTTCACAACCCTCGGCATCATCCCTGTGTCATGCAGTGCGTCGGCTCGTCCAGATGTTCTCCACAGCATCATGAATATAGACATATACATATAGATGTATATAGATATAGAGAGTGCAGAGGAGGACCACAAGTCCACAAGAACGGGTCGGGTACGTTGAAGAGTCAAATGAAGACGTGCCGGTTGTGTTTACCGATGAGATTGTATATTGTGTATGTTGATCTGTTTCCTCTTGAATGGATGAGACTAGAATGAAATAAATAAGTTATATTGTATAATGGAAGACAAACAAGGCATCCCATGAGATATGCATCCCTCTCTTAATAAGGAAATGAATAAATCTATTTCCATTGTTTCCACATCTCACGGTCAGCAGCGCGTCTGTGTGAGAAGCTTCAGTGCCCGTTAGCAGCGCTCTGGAGACTGATAGTCGCTCAGGGCTTCACTTCCTCGGTGGCGTTTGATGGTCGTCGGACTGCAGACAAACAGCCAATTAGAGGAGCGCAGGTCACCTGACTGCCTCCGCTGCTCCTCCTGTGTCCTCCGCTGTAATTAACCCGCAGCCTTCATCTTCAATAACACGCTTAATGGCTTAACGGACCTCATGATTATCTGTGATTACACCGCTCTCTTTAATCACAGAGGACCTTTTTATTAGCAGCACCCTTAATTAGTCTGTGACTCCTCGTGTTTGTTACAAATCAAGTACACACCTGATGATTACGTTTAGTTTTTACACTTCTCCCAGGCTAATGGAGAGACGCACAGAGGTTTATGAATGAAATCTCTTCACTTTGTTTGTGTTGATTCTTTTCCTCCTGTTTCACTCGCTGCATGGCTTCACGCTCAAAACTAATTCACCTTCTTCCAGAAAGGGGCGTAGAGCTCAGGTGGGTGTCTCTTTCAGATGTCACCCTCAGGGTTTGGACTGTAAACAGATTGAAACGGAAAAAGACACAAACAATTTCATACATCATGAACCAATTTGCCTCGGAGAGGAACACAGCAGCTGATGATAGAAAGCAGAGAATCAACACAAAGACGAAGTGACGGTTCCCTCGGGTCAGTGACAACAGGAGGTCATCCGTGTCTGTCCTCTGTCTCACAGATCAGAGGTCTGCGATCACTTAAAACACGGTGTGTGTGTGTGTGTGTGTGTGTGTGTGTGTGTGTGTGTGTGTGTGCGCGCGTGTGCTCACGCACACACCTTTTGGCGCAATGTTGCCTTGGAAACTGGGGAAAAGTGAATATGGAGTTCAGCTTTGTGAAGAGGTCACTTGTCATTTGTGCAACACACACACACACACACTTCCAATGACGGCTTCGACATAGTGTGATGGTCATCGTGAGCAGAAGGCATCGCTCTGCTCCATTAGAGCCTCAGTGAGATGAACTGATTGTTGACACTGATGGGACGGTTTACTGCCTCTGGTCCTCTGGTCCTCTGGTCCTCTGGTCCTCTGGTCTTACAGGCAGCCGGGTGACCTCGAGTACACGTTGCGATTAGGAATGAAGACGACTGCAAATATAGAAAATAATGGCCCAAATAATAATGATTATTTTTGATCTGGACAAAATGTATTTATTGGACTTTAACATTTAAAGTTACTACGAGGAACTTTCATTTTGTGTTGGTTCTGTCGCCCCCTGTGGACTAAAGTGGTAGTGTCTTTAGAAAACCTCTCATTGTACTGCAGCAGGTCTGACAGTCTGCCCCTCTCAGTCCTGGTTCTGGTTCTCCCGTGCCTCCCTTCCCTCCAGCGGGTCCAGCAATACGTCCTGGGTCTCCAGCAGCGCGGTGTCCAGTGTTGTCCGGCTGCTTCTAATTTTAGAATCGGTCCAAATTTCTGCCGGATCAGTTGATGTGTGATATTCAGTGGGAGTGAGTCATGAAGGCGGATCAATGATCTTGCTGTCCGTCATGCGGTTGGATGTCGGGTCAGATTTGGATCCGTTCTAACCTGCAGTGAGCCGGCAGCGTTTGGTCTCGACCGACAGTCTTTAGTGTAAAGTTGAGCTTCACAGCAGGACAGACGGAAGATGCTGTCGACATCTGTCACACATCTGCAGATTTATTCTTCGTCTTACTTTACGTTCATAGAAGAATCTTAACAAAGTCACGCTGCCTTCTGTCAACATGGTTGTCTTGTTTGAATAAACTTTATTAGTTGTTTTTTTCATATTTGTTACCTGCTGTTAAGTCATAAACACATGAATCAAAACAATTTAAATCAGATTTAAAATTATCTTCTTTTGCCTCAGGACTAAAGAGTTGCAGGTTCTGACTCCACAGAAAGGATGATCTATAAATATAAATGTGAAATGTAAACTCAACGCACAAGATGGATGAGAACTCTGATCCTTGTGTGTTTCAGGTGGGGGACTCAGGGGGACTTCACCACCACTCACCCGCTGCCCTCGGTCAAAGTGAAGCTGTTCACCGAGAGCACCGGGGTCCTGGCTCTGGAGGACAAAGAGCTGGGCCGGGTGAGTCCAGATCCACTACGACACACACACGAGACACACACAACCTGCAGACACAACAACACACGACACACACACAACCT